ACGCCCATGCTGCCCTTTCTAGCACCTGCGTATCCGGCACATGTGACGTGCGTCAAGCATCCGGATACGTGGCGGCAAAAGTCCAATGAACCGTGCGCCGTGACATACAAAAGGTGGCGCGCGAATCGGCGGCCAGGAAACCATCGCATCATGGCGGCATGCGAGCAGGATCACTTGGACAATGTATGCACGTCAGTATGCACCATGTGCTTTTCCCATGGCGAATGAGCGACGCGAATGGCGTCGCGTCTTGCACGAGACGTCGTGTCGCAGTCGTCACGGCGTCGTCCGACCTCGTTACGTGGCGTGTAAATTAAGCATTCGGCGCGCCTCCTAGGTGTCTCTGCACTGTGCACCAATTGTGATTGCGTACCGCTGCGTTGAAGCGGATACGCAATGTGGGCATCTGGTTCTGCTTTTGTCTTCTCATGGACCATCGATCGAGCGACTCAACGGATCATTTTCCATTTTCCATCCGCATGCCCAACACCGAGGACCTCCACGAACGGGCGTCGTACATCTTGTCGTCCAAGCACAACGCCGAGCTCGTCCAAAGGATGGTTTCGAGTCGCATGCGACGCCCAAGGACCTCGAGAGCGGCGCGCTCGTGGAAGGTGGGCCGCTGGCTCTCTGGTCGCGCGAAGCCTTTGGTCTCTTTTCGCAGTACGGCGCCATCGGTGTCCTCTACGGCATGTTGCCCGTGCTCTCGCTGCCCATCTACACGGTGTACCTCAACATGGAAGGGTACCAAACCGCCTCGTACGGTGTCTTGGTGACGGTCGGCTGGACGTTCAAGGTCTTCTGGGGCATGCTCTCGGACTGTGTCCCGATCTTTGGCTACCGCCGCAAGTCGTGGATGCTCATCGGGTGGTTCACCACCATGGTGTGCCTCGCTGTCATGACGTTCCTGCCCATTGGCGCGCCGTATTGCGACCGCCGCATTCCCAACAACGTCTGCAAGACGCCGCTGCGCAACATCAGCGACGCGGACAAGGCTGCGTACCTCAACTTTGACGCGCCCGCGCGCGGCTCGACGTTCATCATCCTCTCCATGTTCATCTCGTTCGGCTACGTCATTGCGGCCTGTGCGTCCGACGCCATGGTCGTCCAGTACGCGCAGCGCGAGCCCGAAGCCATTCGGGGGCGAGTCCAGACGGCCATCTACACGGTCCGCACGGTCACGGGCGTGTTCGCCCAGCTCGTGGTTGCGTTCCTCCTCAATGGCAAGGAGTACGGCGGCTCGTTTGACTTTGCCGTCCCGCCGAACGCCGTCTACGGCATTTGCCTCGCGCCCTGTGTCGCCGTTGTGCTCACGACCATCTTTGTGGTCGTCGAGCAGCCGTCGCAGAAGACGTCGTTTGGCGAGTGGCGGCGGTCGTTCTGGGGCCTGCTCCAGAAGCGCGTCATGTGGCAAATCTGCGCGTTCCGCTTCATCAACACCATGTTTCAGAGCATGTCGGCGACACCGACGTCGCCCATCGCCTCCAAGTGGGCCAAGGTCGAGCCGCTCAACGACTCGCTCTCGGCGGCGCTGGGCAATCTGATTTACGCGCTGATTCTCATCGTTGTCGGCAAGTGGGGTCTCAACTGGAACTGGCGCTGGACGATCGCAATCGCGTCGCTCGGGATGGTCGCCATCGACTCGTTTGTGATGATGATGACGGTCTGGGACGTCTACCGCAACCAGTGGTTCTACACGGGCGTCACGATGGCCGACAACATTCCCATGAGCGTCCGCTTCATTGTCTCGACGTACTGCGCCGTTGAAATTGCCGACGTGGGCAACGAAGGCGCGACGTACGGCCTCATCACGACAGTCGGGAACCTTGCGTCGCCCGTCGCGTCGGTCATTTACAAGTACATTGACTCGTTCTTTGACGTCTCGCAAGACAACATCTTGACCGACTCGACGCACGTGCGCTGGGAAGCCACGTACGTGTATCTGATCTCGTACAGCTGCAAGGTGCTGGCGCTCGGCTGGCTTTCCTGCTGCCACCGCAAAAGGCGCAGATGCAAGAGCTCAAGCGCCGTGGGGGCTCGAGCAAAATCGCTGGCGGCCTTCTCATCCTCGCCTTCCTCGTGTCCATGGTCTTCTCGATGACGAGCTCCATCATGGCCATCTACCCGTCGACCAAGTGCTACCGCATCGCCGGCGGCAAGGGTACGGTGAACGGCACGTGCCCCAAGTAAATGCCAATTAATATTAGTCAAGTATCTGTTGTCCACTGGTGTCAATTTGCATGAACATGAAAAACAGTGTCATTGTGGTCGTGACGTGGCATCGCTGTGGCGCCGGGATGGAGACTACTTTCTAGGCGAATTAGAGTGAGGCAAGGCAGCATACACACAAAACCGATCGTGTCCAGTGGGATAGCCAATCACATCGCACACTTTCCCGAAAGATCGCCAGATTCGTGCGTTGGTTGCGAATGCATTCAATAAACCTGGCATTTGCATACAAAACGCAAGACAAGATTAAAATTCCGAATTACAGGATTCTCAATTCTCGATTCTCAATTCCAGTTTTGGTGATTCGCATATCATTTCGCAACGAGCCCGCCTCTCGACATGCTCTGCCTCCTCGTCGTGTCCCTCGTCTCCGCCGCCATTGGCGCTGCCGACGTCTACCTGACCCTGCGCGCGCAGCAAGCCGCCACCGCCAGCGCACCCGTCGAGGCAGCGCCGACGGCCGACGGCGCATCAACGGACCTCGCCGACGGCGCCACGAAGCAGCTTGTGCACAAGTTCGGCGCCCATGGACATCCCGTCGCCCACATCGACGCTGGACATGACGGGCAACTACGACTCGGACGACGAGTCGGACGACAACGACGACGACACGGAAGGCGACGTCGAAGAGGACGCCGCCTGCGGCCACGAGATCGACGAGATCGCGGACGATGCGATCGCGCTCGTCCAGGACATGGTCGATCTGGCGTACGAAGCGCACCTTGTGGCCGACAGCGCAACGGCCGAGTACCTCGAGGACACGACGCTGCAGCTCGAGGCGCTCAAGACGTCGATCGACGAGCAGCCCGAGCTCGCGGCCACGTCCCTCGGCCTCTTCGCCGACTACATTTTTGGCGCTGGACGCCGTCGTGCCTATGCACTCGACGCTCGCGATCGAGCTGCTCGAACTCAAGCTGGAGGCGCTGGAAGCTCGCGTCGCCGCCGCCGCGATCGTCAACGACTGGCACGCGCTCC